TTTATTTATTTTTTTGACAATGCTGTAACTACAGGTGTTTCAGCATTTATGCACCAAGGATGGTTACTGAGAATGTGGTCACTGCGGCCAGAAGCTATCGGAGACAGTTGGGATTGTCTGGATCAGGAAAAGCCATTTGTATGAGTGCCATTAACCAAGGATGACAATCCTCCCCACAAACTCTTCTGCAATGTGTTGGCCCTTCTGTAATTTAGAAGCCCATGAGAATGCAAAAGTATTTTGCAGTGACCATCGATCAAAGAGACATGAAGTTTAAACTTGAACTGGCTGCATTTGCCTTGAGTTTATCCACATTTGATTTCCAGCCTAACTGGGTAAATCAAAATTCCTTATCCTAAACTGTTAGAGCTGATTATTCGAATCTAAAAGAGAAGCTTAAAATTTATTCTAATTAAATAAACTTCAATCCTTTGCTTCCTTGCTTAAGATCTTTTTGTCTTCATTTACTACTTCATTCATTTGCTTTAACTTTTACCATGAGTGAGAGAGACCGAGAGAGAAAGTGAGGAACAGCAGCCCCAACAGGATCTTGACACTGCAATCCACCCCCAGCTTCGGCAAGCCCAAGGTCATGGGCATACAGTTGCCCAGCCTACTCAGGGAGGTCTCTAGACACGAACCTGAAACCTTCCCATTGTGTCAGCCTTGTCGAGTGCTGTGGTTTATTGTGTGCCACCATTTGGCACCTGAGATATTTTTAAATCACAATTCTGTCATTTAATATTTTAGCTCTATTTCCAAGAGGCACTCTTTTCATATTTTAAACATTAAGCTGCCTACCAAAGGACTTCATCCCATCACATCCTCCTTTTCTGCCATCAAAAATAAATATGCACATAAAACACATACAGAAATTTCTAACTGGACTTATCTTTTTGTGGAAAGAGCAGAGATGGAGAGTAGAAAATAAAGCTTTATTTTATCAAGAATTTTTAAGATTAGTAAAGAAAGCAAATGAAAACTATTCCTCATGCAAAACTACTGCCATCTAGAGGCCTCCACAAAGCATTGCAAATCTGTTTGTGATTCTATTTAGCTTAAATGGTTAATATTTAAGCGCCGGTGATTAATTTTAAGCATATTTCTTAAATTTTCAAACTACTAAATAAACTTTATTGCTATCACTATTATAAATTATATAGGCCACAGAAGACATGTAGTTTTACATATGGCTAGATTATATAAAAAATTGAACATTACAATGTTTAATTTGGAGTATTTAGAAAAACACGTTTTAAACTGCTGAAAAATTAAACAGGCCATTTCCTTCCATCCCCAAAGAAATAGTGTGGCAAATAACATTTACAACACAAATGTTTAAATACAGTATTATACACAAAAGACCATTTAGTGAGTTGCTTTGGAGTCTAAAACTTGAGCTAGCTAATCATAAAGTTATCATTTAAATAAATAGTGAATAACAAATCAAGTAAAAGTCATATCTAAGGTTAAAGTTACTAAATTATAGCATTTCTCTAAGTAAAAGAGAGGTCAGGTATAATGATGAAATTCAATTCCAAATTATGAGTAATATCCTAACATATTATTCCTGAGCATTTATAAATTAACTCCCTAAACTCCCTAATTACAAGAAGAAACTCAGTACATGGAATAGTAAAAAAAAAAAAAAAAGAAAAGAAAAGAAAAATAAACTAAAACTTAAAATAAAGAACTTTTGGGGACCAGCAGTTAGCATAATGGCTATGTCACTGGACTCCCATGTAGTCGATTGCGGTTCGAGTCCCAGACCTGGTGGCTTAAACTCATGCTGGGCACATGTGCGTGCATGCCCAAAATCCTGAGAGGAAGGAGGTGGAGGGATTGCAGCATGGCCATCCCCCCCTGGGGTGGGGGGTGATTTCTCACTTTCTCTCTCTGTCTCTCTCTGTCTTTCTGGCGAGCTCACGGGCCCTATAGCAAAAACCTCTCCAAAAAAAGAAAAGAAAAAAAAAAAAAACTTTCATGAGTGACAAAAATAAATAAAATAAAATAAAACTTTGCAATATGGTATAAATATTACATATAAACAGCCCAACCTCAGAGGCAACAGGCAGTAGTAAACTGAACTGCAGTTCTGTAAGCTGCATGCTCAAACATAGGTTTAGATTCTGAGTTGAATATTTTATTCTATGAAATATCTGGTATATTCAAATTTAATTGGACGTTCTGTATTTTATCTGGCAATGTTTATCTCAAGAAAATAGGGTGAATCTGGGACCAGCAGATGGTGTAATGGCTACGTCATTAGACTCCCATACAGTCAACCACAGTTCAAGTCCCGGACCCAGTGGCTTAAACTCACGTCGGGGGCATGTGTGCATGTGTGTGTGTGTGTGTCCAAGATCCTGAGAGGAGAAAGGAGGAGAAGGGACTGTGGTGTGGCCATCCCTCCTGGGGGGTGATTTCTTACTTTCTGTCCCTCTGTCTCTTTCTGGCGAACACACAAGCAAAAACCTCTCCAAAAAAAAAAAAAAAAAAAGAAAAGAAAGAAAAAGAATATAGGGTGAATCACTTCAGGTGATTCAAGACCCTGATTAGTTGAAAGCATGGGGGAAGGAGACTGAAGCATAACAGGATGCTGTCAGGGCTGCTTGTTTCTACCATTCCTTTCCTCTCTCGCAATAAATAAGCTTTAAAAAAATTATACATAAGTAAACGTATCTAAATTTACAAACCAGCAAATACTGTAAGTCAAGTTCAAGTCCTTTGAGCATCTTTCAAATGGCAAATATTTGCTACATACACCAGCACTGATTAGAGGCAAATCATGTTATTGACCTATTCTGCCCACACTGCCTTAACAGATAAGTTTCTTAGTTTTGGAGGATGGGAGTCCAAGATCAAGGTGCCCTTAGGGTTGGATTCTGCTAAGACCTTTCTCCTCACCTTGTAGAGAGCCATCTTCTCTTTGTGTCTTTACATGACCTTTCTTCTGTGCTTGCACCTCCAGGTCTCTTCCTCTCTATATACGTATACTAACCCTACCAGACTAGGCCACATCCTAGTGACTTTAACCTTATATTCCTCCTTAAGGACCCTATCTCCAAACATAGTCACACTGGGGGTTAGGACTTAAACATACACAGGTACTTGAAAAAGCTAATGGAAAAACTGAAGTACACATTTACAGCAATTTTTTTTTTTGAGAGGTTTTCGCTATAGGGTGCGTGCGCTCGCCAGACAGACAGAGACAGAGAGACAGAAAGTGAGAAATCACCTCCCAGGGGGGATGGCCACGCCACAATCCCTTCTCCTCCATTCTCATCTTAGGATCTTGGGCACGCACGCACACACACCCGACGTGAGTTTAAGCCACCGGGTCAAGGACGTGAACCGCGGTCGACTACATGGGAGTCCAGCGACATAGCCATTACGCTAACTGCTGGTTCCCAACAGCAATATTCTTGAATAAAGTGAAACATTTCTTCATAATATAATTGATCACTTGGGGGAGAGGTGAGTTGAATGGTCCAAGTGGTCTCTTTTGGTTCATAGACATTAAAGACACTGTTGTTAGGCTCTTAGCAGGGAACAGCTCAGTTTTCTTGGGGATTATTTCCTGCTCCTATTCCAGATAGATTCGTTTGAGACTCTTAAGTGTTAAAATGGAACAAGTTATCAATTTATTCAAAAGGCCCTACTAGGTATAATAGTTGTCCTGCACAATTAAACTATTTTTTGTACTAAATTAATTCCCTGGTTAGTCTATTAGCCTCATAGGGTTGGTATTTCTGAGGGTTAAATGTAATTTTCGATCCATTATATTTTCATCATGTTATGCTTATTTATTTTTCCCATCGAACAAAGTGCTTCTTTCGATTAAAACAGAAATGATATAAAGATAATAAATTTATATTTTCTCTCTTAAATGGGTTGTACAGTAAAGGTCTCAAAGTGCTAGTTGTTCACACCCAGAGGCTCTCTGTGGGAATTAAATGCTCTGAAGCATCCACTGTATGTAATAAATTACATTTTCTCCTGTGCAGTTAGAATGACACTAGTTATGTAGTCTTTTAAGTTGTCGCTCAAATAACTTAGGCCTCTTTAAACGTTAAAACTTGTCTTCAGGGCCAGCTAGTGGCATGGTGGTTAAGGGCACTGGACTCCCACATGGCCGTCGACGGTTCAAGTCCTGACCTAGCAGCTTGCTTTCTCACTTTCCCTCTCTTTCTCTCTGTCTTGCTCTCTCGGGCTGTCCCTCTCTGATCAAATTAAAATAAATAAAGTTAAAATCAAATAATTCTTTAAAAAAAAAAAACTTGTCTGCGAAAAGTTCTCCCTTCTGGTGTATGCTCTATGTATTTCTGTAGTTTCTAATGTCCTTTCTTAGAAAAATTCATGACAATAAAAAGGATCAAATAACAACCAGCGTCATTGCAAAATGGTCCCTCAGGGTATCTAATAAACTTACTTCCTAATGCACTCCAGTGTTAAATGGGGAAGGTCTCCGCTTTACCATTCCGTTTTAACGTTTAGCAAAGTACAGGAGTAAAGTTCTTGATTTAACCCCCTGTCCGAGAACATGTGGCGAAAAGACGCACGCACCCGTGGGCTACTTGGTCAGAGGGCATCAGCCGACGCCACTTTCCCCACACTTTCTCACTTTTCCGCGCACGAGAGTAAAGGGGTAGGTCTAACGTCCTGAGCTCACGGTTTCCGCGGCGCCTTGAAGACTCAGCGGAGCCCGGATTAATTTTGTGGTAACCCTTGGGAAGGGCTATACGCCAACACGTTCTGACTTGCGCTCTCCAGTTTCCTGCAGTGGTGGCACCGCTCGGGGCACCTCCTGGTTCGGGACACCGGGTGGGACTGCAGAGCAGCACGAGCCCGCGTCGGTGAGCGGGCGCACCACACCGCCAGGGGGGGCGCAAGACTCGGGCCGCAAGACTCGGGCCGCGAGGGGCGGGGACTAGTGTGTCCGGGGGCGGGGCCAAGGGTGCGGGGCGGGGCCGTCGCGTGCCTGAGGAGGCTGCAGCCCCACCCCGCCGCATCCGTCCGTCCAGGTCCTGTCCCGCAGTGTAGGTCGGACCCATAAGCTCTTGCACTCTCCTCGGCCAAGGCGTTCGCTGGTGCTCCCTGCTCAGCCATGGCTCAGCACTTCTCCCTGGCCTCCTGCGATGTGGTCGGCTTCGACCTGGACCACACTCTGTGTCGCTACAACCTGTCTGAGAGCGCCCCGGTGAGTGGCGCGAGCTGCCCGGGGCGCACGGCGTGCAGGCTCCATGGCGGCTGAGGCTGGGGCTTCCTCCTGGGCCTGGGCGGTGGCGAGCACCGCCGAAGGCCTGCAGCCGCCTCGCCATTCTTTATGACGGCCTCCCACCGCAAGGCAGGACGGAAATGTGCTTCCCCAGCTCCCCGCCTCTGCTGTGGGGACCGGCTCTTTTACTTCAGCCATTCGCGAAATCAGAGAGAGGGTTGGGGAAGAGAGGGGAGACGGAGAGGCACATTGTGCAAGATCCGATTGGGGAACGGATTCTAGGGCAGAGGAGGGACGAGGCCACGGTCCCTCGCGATGTCCTGCAGATCCCTGGCCTAGGAACTTCTCTGCAGATCATCTGGGGCACTGGCTGGACGTGGATGCAGCCACTTGGTTTGGGACTTGAATTTTCTTCAGCTATGTTTTTCTTTTTGTACGTCCAAGTGTTCAAACACTGCCGCCAGGGACAGATTATGTAGTGGAGGAGCAATATCCGAGAAGTCATTGGGATCTTAGCTTTAATTTTGTATTTTCCCCGAGAGAAGATATTAAACATTTATTGCACACCTACTACGTGCCCCGTGCACTTTGAATACATTTTGAGCCTAATGACAGCCTACTTAGTTTGGGTCCTCATTGCAGTGTTGAGGAGGGAGAAGTGGATTATGTGATTCCAGACCTGTACTTTCAAATCAATTGACTTCCCTCTCCCAGTTTTAGTTTCACAAGGAAAGTATTTGTGAGGAAAAAAAAAAGTTTTCGTATTTTTTATATATATATATATATATATATGGACTGCACCTAAATTACTCATAGTGTGCCAGCTCCACCCTTTCTAAGTGTGCAACTGTCCTTTTGCGGTTTCCCTATCTCTAAAATGGGGCTAATCATTACCTAAAAGATTGTTCAGAGATTAAATGGGTAGTAGATGCGTGAGGATTAGAGCAGTAACTGGCAAACACCATTGCTTGCTTTTGTGGTTACCACCAGAACCATTTGGAAACCTCACCATTCATGGGTAGAATTGAGGGTCACTGGTGCAGACGTCAGCCAAGGCTAATGCTTAGGGATGTCAGTGCCTCAGTCAGTTCCTGTCCTGAATTATGCCCGTGTTTTCTATGCATAGACCTTTTTAAAAAAAAAAAAAATGTGCACTTTTCCTGCGATTGTACTTTTCTGCTTTCTTCTATACAGGGCTGATTTTTTTGGTCATGCTGAAGGTTGAGAAAGCTTTTCTTTACTTCTTCATCCTTTGGCCACTACTTCCCCTAGGTCTTTGGTTTGTATTTTCATGCCCGCAGTGCCTTTCAGGTCTCCTCGTGATTCATACTTTTGTGTACCTCCCCTCTAGTCACCTCATTTGAAGGAAATATTGTTAAGCCACTGTCATATTACAGCCAATTTTGTGCACCTGTCAGCATAAACTTCCAGGATATAAGAAGCTTAAAAACAAACATTCTTTAGGTTGAAACAGTAACCTAGTGAGCTTTGGATCATGTTCAGTATAGGAACATTAAATCCCACAGTATTGCAATGCACCGAGGCAGAGTTGGGGTTACAGAGATAGACCTTTCAATAGTTTCATGTAGTAGATGGAAGATGCTACAAAGTTCATGTCAGGCCCCTGTGGTGAGGCACTATTTCCTGGACCTTGTTACATGCTGCTTCCTGTGCCTGGAGGGCCTCTTCCCTTCCTCAGTTGTTCTTCATTCTGTCCAATGTCATCATAAATATCCCCTTTGGAAAACTTTCTCCAGCCCCTAGAGTTTGCATCTCCACTCCAGTCCTACCTTTAGTTTTCCACAAAGCCTTTAATTTCTTAGAGCACTTCCTACATAACATTAACATTTCCTGTTTACTTGTCTGAATCTTCCCCTAGAGTCTAGAGCCTTGGCTCCTTGACATCAGTCTATGACAGTTTGTTGTATGTTCTGTATGCCAAGTTCAGTACTGGGCACACACTGGGTTCAATAGGCAATGGCGGGATGATGGCATAAATATAGGTATTTTAATAATGTAACACAGCCAGTGTTCTAGTAAGCATTCTGTGTATATGCACTGATTTAATCAATTTAATACAACATCATCCCATCACTATGTAGAGATGAGAATAAGGAGGCACAAGAAGGGCTTCTCAGAGTCTCCAGCAAGTTAGTCTGGCTGTAAGTTTCTGCCTCTCACCAACATGCTGTCTATATGGTACCATTAAGCTCAGAGAGAGACCTGGGCCTGGGTGCCATGGAGGAGTTTGAGCTGGCAGAGGAGATGGTGGGGAGCACTTTGTGCAAGGACCTAAGGGTGAGCAACAGTGCCATGAACTGTTGGGTGCAAGCAGAAGGTGGGAAGTTGCAGGGAAAGATGCTGGAAAAGGGAGTTGTTGGGGTGGGACGGGGAACCTTATCATGGAGAGCTGCAAGTTCCTCTCCAGCCTTGCAGACATTTAACAAGTGGGGAATGTCTTACAGCCATGGAACTGGGCGTGTGGCCTCCCCTGAGGCCTTAGGAGAGGCATTCTAGAAGAGATAATGATACCATATTCTGGGGTTGCAGACTCAGAAGTCTGGTGACAGGCAGTTGACCTAAGATGTGAGTGGAAAAATGGGTCTCGGCAGACATGAGGGTGTACAGCTTTTCTGAGGAGTAGCCACTCTTGTTCTTGCCAATATTTACCATGAGCAAATAGGGGCTCAGTCTTACTAGGTCTTCTCGTTCTTTTAAGACAAGCTAAAAAGCTGAACTTTTATGAAAAAGCTTTCCATGTTTAAATGTTATCTCATTTTCCAAAACAGCAGAATTAAAAAATTGCTAGATTCAGCCAAAAAAAAAAAAAAAAAAAAAGAAAGAAAGAAAGAAAAAAGAAAAATCCAGGGCACCTGGTTAAATTTGAATTCTAAGTTACAAAAATATGTTTAGCATATATATATATATATATCCCAAATAGTATATACTTGTAGTAAAAAATTAGTTTTTATTCCAGGTTTTCCTTGTTTTATCCCAACTTTTGCTGAGAACGAAACATAATTGCGGGCTGCATGTGGCCCACAGGGCACCCCTTTGTAGCTACTGTAAAGTGCATTTTTTATTTGTTGTGTGGGATTGTGAGGGAGTGAGCAGCAATAAGGCTGGGTAGGAAGGCCTGGGGACTGTCAGGCAAGCTTCAGGGAAGACATAATCTAAGGACAAGTCATAGGAATTAAGGCCTTGGGACTAGAGTGAGACTTTTTTTTGTGTATGTGCCATAGGGCATATGTGCTTGTCAGAGAGAAACAGAGACAGTGAGAGGGAAAACGAGAAATCACTCTCTCCCCATGGGGGATGGCCACTCCACAATCACTTCTTCTCCATTCTGCTCCTAGTATTTGGGGCATGCCGTACACATGCCTGGCATGACTTTCAAGTAGCCAAGTCTGGGATTCCAACCATGGTCAGCCATGTGGGAATTTAGTGCCCTAATCACTATGCCACCTGCTGGTCTTACTTGGGACTTTCAAGTACAGACTGGTCTGGTCTCCTAGCACCACTTTTCTCCTGTTAGAGGAACATCTCTCCCCCGAGTTAAGAACACACTATTGGCAGTCCTAGTAGAGAGGGATCCTTCCTGGAAGGAGTCTGACGTTATTGGAATATATGTCTATGTTTTAGACAAACCCTTTTTGTCAAGGGGTAAGAAACTCCAGTTGTCTACAACTCAGTAAAGCTCCTTGACCAGAGGTAAGTCCAATAATGTAAGATAGCTGGCTCATAGAGGCCTGTGAAAGTGTGGTTACACTGTCAGAAATTGTGCAACGTTAACTGTTGGTGCTTAAAGCAGGCCGTCATGCGAGTATTTATACCATGGAAATGGTCAAGTGGTGTAAGTCAGGGTGGTAATTTTGTTTTATAACCCAGCGCATGACTGATAATAATAGCAAATGCTTAAATTGGATTTACCTTTACGCCAAGCATAGCTCTAAGCACCTGACATCTGTGCACCCACGTTACTGGTTCCTTGCTTACAGGATCATGATGTGTGCTTTTTATTGTTCTTCGTACATTGAAGGGTGACTCATTCATTTTTTGACTTTGTTAGTTCTTTTAATAATCGAATGAAAATCCATTAAACACATAGGTTGGTAGTTTTCAGTCCTCTCTGGACTTCAGGAATCCTGTGGTGCTCTACATGGATCTCTCCCTGTTCTGTAGGTGTAGAATCTCAGCTTGTTTTAGGAAACCTCCCTGTAGTTCTGAACCATGTTGACAAAATGTGGGACTATTAACAACTGACCTGGATGAGGGTCCTATTGCATTGGACGGGAGTACTTGTGTACTGGTTTTAATTATCTTTACAACAAAGAGCAGCTCTATTTGACAAGGAGCCTTGCTTTCTCCACTCTCATCCCTTAACACTCAAACCCAAACCTTTACTGCATTCGGGCTCCTCAGCGTCTGGGCCTGTTGCCCTCCCCCCATTCCTTCCAGATTTCATCCAGCTAACTTCTGTTTGCATCTTGCAGGGACCAATGTGAAGATGACCACAGGAGGAGCTTCACCCACTCCTCTTTCCTAGTAGCGTGCTATGCTATCAAGACCTGTCCTTGTTAACAATCCATAGAGGAAGAGTCAGATTGTTCAGTGCGTCCTTTTGGGCACTGTTCAGGCCAACCCCAGACCACTGTTTATATGCGTCTGATGCTGGCCTGAGAACACTCTTCTTTAGTAGAGTGAGGTGGAGCCCAGGTGTACTTTCATTCAGCCTTCCGCTTTTTGTTGCATATGCATTGTTCTTTAAAAGTGAAGCCAGTTCTTTATGAACATTTTTCTTTCAAAACCCTAAGGTTTGGTTGGCCCCAATGTCAGCAGTTAAAGGAACCAGATTCTATATGGCTGACCATGGTTTGTATCTTGTTCCTAGCAGCTTAAAAATCATGCCAGGCACATGTATGTGCATACATGCCCAAAATCCTGACAGAAAGGAAGGATAGAGGAAAAAGGATTATGATATGCTCATGTCTCAATGGGGAGTACTTTCTTTCTCTCCTTCTCTCTCTCTCTCTCTTTCTCTCTCTCTCTCTCTCTGGAGAGCCCACATGTGCTCTGGCAATTAAAAAGCAAATAAACAAAAAAAAACTAGAATTTGCTGTTGAGAAATCTGTCAGTGATCAAAAGAACATTCTCATTGTACCTGCTTTCAAAGAGTGCCTGTGTCCTTTTACTTCTGTAAGTAAGAGAGGCGTTATGCTCCTCTAAATCACCTCACTGGTTGGGAACAGCAGATGGCATAATGGTTACGTCACAGGATTCCCACACAGTTAACTATGGTTCAAGTCCTGGACCTGACGACTTAAAACTCACTCCAGCGTGTGTGCGCGTATACCCAAAATTCCGAGAGGAGAATGGAGGGGAAGGGATTGCAGCATGGTCATCCATGGGGTGATTTCTCACTTTCTATCTCTCTGTCTCTCCAGCAAGTGCACACTTCTGACAGCAAAAATCTCTCTAAACAAACAAACAAGCAAACAAAAATCACCTTCCTGGTCTTTCTTTTGAGACTGGCCTGTCTCCAAGGATGTAAGGAATGACAGTGTGGTTAATATGTTTTCATTTTAGTGAAATGTTAAGTAAGTCTACAAAATTTTATTATGTCTTTTTTTTTAAGATTTATTTATTTAACTTAATTTATTCATTCATTTATTTTTAATTGACCACAGAGAGAAAGTGAGAAAGCAAGCCACCAGGTCCAGGACTCCAGCTGTGGTTGGCCATGAGGGAGTATCTCGTGCCTTAACCACCATGCCACCTGCTGGTCCCAAAACTTGTTCAAGTCTTAATTATGATTTCCAACCATTAGAATGTAGGAGTAGGATGAGTAATTAACCTTGGTTGCATAATTATAATATTAGGATGTGATAGCTTTGTGGGGACTCCTGGGGGTTGATAAATTGCTTATGAAAGGGGAATTAAACTGCAGAACTTCACAATTACAGCTATTTCTTTCCTACCTGCCTCCAGAAGTGATTGCATAAAGTTTTCCAGTGTATGAAGTTAAAAATAGCAAATTGTATATTTAGTCTTTTTTTCTTTTCCTTGTTTGCAGCTCATTTACAATAGCTTTGCTCAATTCCTAGTCAAGGAAAAAGGGTATGATCAGGAATTGCTCAATGTGACTCCAGAGGATTGGGATTTCTGGTGAGTTTTATTTTGCTTTTTTTTTTTTTTTTTTTTTTTTTTTTATTTTTTAGGTCTATACTTTCCTATTCTTAACTGTTGCTGATAGAAATTTTTAAATGTTTCCTTTTCTATAAAGGTAGAAAGCTAATTGTGAATTTGAGTCAAAGAATGAAACACCTCCTCTACTAAAAATATTGTGTTTAATGAAGTCTTTTCTATTTTGAATAACTTAGACTTTCTTAATTAAATATGAAAATAAGCTATGAGTTTATGTGACTAATTTGGAAAGTTTTGTATGACTTATCCTAATTAACAGTTTTGGAAGTTATTAGATAGTGTGTCTAAAGTTTACATCTTTATAAAAATGTTTGTTCTATTACCCTTCAACTTAAGAACTGTAACAAAAGAGAAGAAACCATCATGTTTTGAGTAAGGACTCTGTGTGTGTGTGTGCACGTGTGTAATTTGGATAGACATTCTTATCTAAGACTCTTACTTACTCTCATTCTGGTTTAGAATTCTCAAATTCCTAAAACTTCCTTTGTCCTTCTTATTTAAACAACAAAATTTTACTACAAATGAATGAAAATAAACAATGCATGTAAGTACCCTATCACTTTTGTTTTATTCTCTTGGTATTTGGTGGTCATTATACCTCCTTGCTTTTATTTATAATGTACTCAATTTTTCTCCAAATTCTGGAACTTTTTTACTGTGAAGAACTTAAAACTTAGTATTTGACTTTCTTTAGTGTTCTTTTTTAGTTTCTTTCTGTCTTCTTTTTTTGAATATATTTCATTTATTTTTATTTATTTATTTATTTTTGGAGAGGTTTTTGCTATAGGGCATGTGTGCTTGCCAGGAACACAGAGAGAGACAGAAAGACAGAAAGCGAGAAATCACCCCCCAAGGGGGATGGCCACACTGCAATCCCCTCTCCTCCATTCTCCTCTTGGGACCTTGAACACACACACACATGCCTGGCGTGAGTTTAAGCCACCAGGTCTGGGACTCGAACCACAATCAACTACATGGGAGTCCAGTGACATTAGCCATCATGCTAACTGCTGGTCCCTATATTTTATTTTTTATACATTCATTCACTGTATAGCATTCTTTTTTTCATGAGAGAGAGAAAGAGACAGACAGCAGCACCCTCAACAATGGTTCACATCATGATTCCCTCCCTGGCCTTCCCAGCCAGTATCACAGACATGGTGTATGCCCAGCTTGTAGAGGCTGACCTGGGAACTGAGCCCAGATCTTCCATGTGGCTTCCAGCATTGCAGAGCAGCATTCCACTGCTATACCACCATGGCTGGCTCTTGTCTAGAGGGCGTGTACTCCTAACCTGACATAAACTGAGGCAAATTCTGAAGAAAGTGGAAAAGACTGACAAAGAGCTTAACTTACAGAAGATAAATATGTATGTTTTAGGTTGTGGAAAACATTCGTACATTTTTACAGAGGCATGGGACAGTGCTCCAGATTTTGTTTGGGTCTTTTTTTGCCTCTCGAGTTTCAGATTCATCTTTTTAAAAGTCTAACAATTTCACACATGGGTCATGCTGCCTTCTGTTGGCCAACATAACATTTGTCTACATACACCTACACTGTGATGGATATTTAATCTTACAATTCGTGGATATTCTTATTTGTTTGATTAGCATATCATTAACATAGGTGAGAGAATCCGTTTTTTAGCACTGCAACTTTTAAAAAAATAGATTATTATTACTAAGACTAGCTAAGTATGTGAATTGATTAATAATAATTTTTCTGTTTTAGTTGCAAGGGTTTGGCATTGGATCTAGAAGACGGGAAATTCATTAAACTTGCAGATGATGGCACTGTGCTCAGGTAATGACATTCAGTTGTGAAGGCAAAACTGTGGTTTCTCCCGGATACTTTATCACTGTGTATCGTGTGACCCTTACAGTATAGATTAAATAAGAGTATTATTTTAGTCAACCAAATGACAGATTATCTGTCTGCCTATGTGTCTTTTTATTAATTATTGAGCCCTTTGAATACAAATCTGTGAGCATTAGATTTAAAGCTCTAGTTCCTTTTAGTTTAGCTTGTTAGAAATCTTCATAGGAAATACAGGAGAAAATTAATAACTAGCTTCATCTCAGTGCACACCCCTTACTGCATACCAGCCTGGGAATTTTATTGTTACAGCTGGGAATAGAGTAGGTGCCTAGGGTATAACCGGAATCTTTTTATTAAGGAAGAAGATGAGAATGGATATTGGGTAGGACTTGGTGTTCTGTGTAGATCTCCCTTGCTTCCTCTCTTATCTAAATGGGCCCCCATCATGCAGGGGCCCACATTGTGTCCTGCTCCTCTGGGAGATTTTCTTATCTACTCCAGCCCTCATTGAGCTCTCCTCCTCTCCCACACTCAGTGATGACTTCTTTTTCTTTCTTCCTCTTTGCATGAGATGAGGCAATGCTCTCAATGATTAATAATCCACAGACAGCTGCCATCACTGCTCTGAGTTTCTGAGGATACCAGGAAGAGAACATCTATTTTTTCCTAGATACTAATAGTATAGGCAGATCACCCCAGCCATAAAGTTATAGTATGTGTTATTCGTACCAACTTGGTCAGAGGAAGAGAAAAAAACTCTCAGCACAGGTTTATATATCCTCACACATCATTCTTTTTGCATGATACAGACTTTCACACTCTTCCCTGGACTGTCCCCTAAGGTGCATCTGATTGGAGCAGCTATGGCCCTACTTCTAACTATATTTTAGTTGATTTGAGTATGCTTTTTCTTAGACAACTGGAGATAGAGTATGTTTGTATACAGATATGTACTATGTACATGTACATGCATACACAGTGTATCTTTAACCATAAACTTTGACTCTTCTGTCAGATTGTTTTAGGGTACTTGGCTTTTTTTTTTTTTTTTTTCCCATAGAGTGCATGTGCTTGCTGAGATTGAGAGAGAGAGAGAGAAATCATTCACCACACGCTCCTCCCTTGCCCTGCCCTTCCACCAGGGGTATGGCCACTCAGCAATCCCATTTCTTCCATTCTCCTCATAGGGTTTTGGACACACATGCACATGGGCCCAGCATGGTTTTCAAGCCACTGGACTCAAACTGTTGTCAGCCATATGGGAGTTGAGCACCTTAACACCATGCCACCTGCGGGCCCCGGGGTACTTGGCTATTTTTAATCCTGGTTCAAAGAATGAAAGCATGCTGCAATTTTGTTTCATTCATTGTTATATCTGCCTATCTTAGTCCATTTTGTGCTGCTATAACAGAATACCACAATCTGGGTCATTTATAAAGAAAAGAAATTTACTAGGCTCGTGATTCTGGAAACAGAGAAGTCTAAGATTGAGGGGCTACATCTAGTGAGGGTCTTGCTACATTAGAACATGGTGGAAGGCATGATATGGTGAGACTAAATGCATGACAGGTGGGGAAGGAAGGGAGGGAGGTGGTTGTGAGCCCATCATACATGCAAGAGGGTGTAACTCACTCTTAGAACAAGCCCACTTTTGAGATAACTAATCTATTCCTGTGATAATGACATTAATCCATTCATGACCCCCCCTATGACCCAGTCACCTCCTATTGGATCTCACCTCCCAGTACTGTTACACTGGGTTTAAGTTTCCCACATGTGAACTTTGGGCTGTCTGTCCCCATCCCAGTGCTGTTTCTCTAAAGCCAGCCTCTTTCCATTCAAGTTCTGGCTTCCTGCAAATTTCTCCTGAATATATAGCTTATATATTGTTATCTCTCACCCAATAGAGTAGATTCCTTATCTGACCATGTTTTCCATTCAAGATTCCTCCATCTTTATGTGAAGCTTTCTAAAATGTTAATCTCTTTATAAAATGAGAGCTCATTTTGATTTTCCCCCATTTGTTATTTCTTTATTTCTTCATATTATTAGGTCATCAGGAAAGTCATGATGTATTTTTTTGTTTTTCTATGCAAAAATGTGTCATGACTTTCCTGATGACCTTAAATTTTGCTACCATAGTATAATGCTATTCCCTATTATAATTTCTCCTAATAAGACACTAAGATATCAAGTAATTCTTTCTCTATAGGTAAGACTTTTTTTTTTAACTCAGGCTTTACTGATGCAAAAGTAGTATTTTGAGCACAGAAAATAGCTACTTTTTACTTTGCTGCTTTGTTTTGTCACACTCTTCTTTGCAGCTGCGGTGCAGCCTCGAACAGGCAGGTTGTTTTCCAACTTGTCTTCACTATCCCAGGTGGCATTGTGCTTGGATGCCATGTACTTCCATGTCTCCTGTGGGCATGGTGTAGCTCATGCTCTAACTCTGGCACCTGCTTCTCTTACTTGGCTCCTGCCCAGTTTTCCAACCGACCCACAGGTTGTCTAACTATTCCATTTATGTGAGTCTCATCTTCAGAGTGAAAGAACTTCAGTAGGCAAGAGTGTTGACCTCAAGAATCATCGTTTCCTAGTCACTAGGTAGTTGCTGGACTAGATGGAGGGAGAGCTAGAGCTGCTCATAGAAATGCCTAGTAGAATCCTAAACAGGGAAGTCACCTCGTTGAAAACAGAGAAGACAAACGAACCTGTTAACTCCAGCAGTGGTGGCATAATGCTAGAGGAAGGGGCATTTAGGGGAGTCGATCATGAGCTGTGCACCATCTCCCCACACCAGGGCAAGTCATGGTACCAAGATGATGACTCCAGAGGCGCTGGCAGAGGCGTTTGGCCAGAAGGAGTGGAAGCACTTTGTGTCTGACTCTGGAATGGCTTACCACTCAGGTATGACTTGGTGGGGAGCAGGGGTAGGGTAGCCATGCCGATTATTCCTGTGACATGAGGACACAAAGACCTTCCTTTCCCGTTGCTGGGCAGAAGGCACAGGGAGCAAGCAGCCTCTGTTTTATGGCAATAAGAGGTGCTAGTTCTCAGATGTGTCTGATTGCTCTTTGGCAACTGGTTGAAAATACTGTTAGCAGCATTTCACACTGTATTACTTACTCTTAGACACTGCTTTAACTTGCACCTGTTCTGGGTTAAAGGTTAGCATTTAGCAGTAATATATTGTTCAGTTGTCTCTTTTTCTTGTTTGTTCATTCATTTCCTCCATAAGAGAGAAAGATTGAAATAGACAAGCATCCCCACAAAGTCACATATTCTTTATTAATTTATTATATTCAATTCTTACTTTTCTTTCTTTGTCTCCCCTTTCTCTCTACATTCATATTATCTACCACTAAACATTATCTATTATACTTTGTATATTTCTTACTACCACTTCTGGGATCTTTTGCTTTTGTCTTTTATTTTTCTGTATTTTTAATGATTTTACACATTTTATTCACTGTCTTTAAAGAGCTTCACCATGAGTGAACATGTAAGGATGTTTCAGAAATTATTTACATAGATGCATGTGAATTAATAAAGAATTATTAACATATTTTTATAAACAGATCTTATTAAAAGTCTTAGTTGTTAGTTTTTCACTTGTTCTAAATTATTTTTCCATCTTGCTATTTTCTCCCACACTATAGTATTGGAATGCACCTTTTCTCCTTCAGAAAACATAGCAGCCTAAAAAAAGTTGTAGTTATTTCTTACTATTGTGTTTGATTTGTTTATTGTCTTTGCTATGTTTTAAAAGTTTTGTTTTGCTTTTTGTTTGTTTCTGCTTGTGTGTGTGTGTGTGTGCTGAAAGTGTCAGCTAGTGTGAAAATTCTTGATAAAATAAGTTCACAGGAAAAAGTGAGATTCACTTTAGGATTAGCTACAGACTGCTTCCATGTATCTCAAGTCAAGAGTGACTAGCCTTTTACTCAACGAATGATAGAGAACTGCTGTTGTCTCTGTAGAAGTTGACAGTTGTAATTCAGTTCTTTCCACGTCCCAGAAAAGCTAGAGGCATAGGTAAGTGTTTAATTGAGAAATTCATTCAGAATCAAAAATATTTTTGTTATCTTCCTGCTACAAAAAGCACTCACCCACTATACAACACCTGCTTATTCATGGCTTCGTTCACTAGAGGGCACTGCTTCCTTAAATCAGCAGCTTCCCTTTGGGTTTATATATTTATTTATTTAATTTCTCATTAGTCAAAAAAATTTAATGACATTATTTCAGCTTTATTATATTCTTTTGTATCAGACATATATGGTTAGTATTCTTCCTCTTGAAAAATTTTTAATTAATTAATTTCATTTTACATTGTATCACATCTTTACAGTTATACATTTCTTTTTCCAACACAAATACCATGCATGTCAGTCAAGACAAGGATATTACTATATACATTATCATTAGCAAGTAGCTTCTCATTTTTTGTCAATTAAGCATACTTTCACCTGTTTTTCTCTTCCCCTTTCCCCTCCTTCCCTTCCATACTAAACTCTTTTCACATTTCATTGATTCACAAAAGATCTTAAAGTATGCACAAAGCTAGAATCTAGTGACAAGTGCACTGTAATTTTCTTCTGAAACATTTTTTTTCCTCTCTCCATTTCCCCTTTTACTAAAGAGAGTATGAACTAATTTATTTGCCAAAAAAAAAAAAATTAGGTTAATCTCAATTTGGTCTGTTATTTGCACAAAGCCCCATAAGAATTCAATATCTGATGCAAGGCAACTAATAGTATTGTATTATTGAACTTATGCAAATAATCATTCTGCCGCAAAATAAGAATGCTCACAAATATTTTTCAATTGCAAAGGGGTCAGAGAGAAAAGTTTGTTTCAGTTTAAAAAATTCTTTAACAAAATTGCTGAACTCAACAACTCAAAAGAAAATAAAAATTGTTAAATCTGGAAGACAAAGCATAGCAGAAAACCAGTAATGTTTTAGAAAAAAAAATCATAGAATTCTATTTCACCAGTTCAGTCTCGTATAATCTCTCTTTGGTTGAATTTGCAGTGTTACTGTGGTCTGACCTTTCCATTAACATTCAACATTATTATTGATATTTCAGAACCTGTCCCTACCATTCAGTTGGCCTTTTCCTTGGTCATTTTTTGGTCTCTTATTTGTCTGTCTTAGTTTTCCTTGTATAGTACTCCCTTCAGAACTTCTCAAAGAGCTGGAATGGTGTTGGAAAATTCTTTTAGGTTTTGTTTATCTGAAAATGTTTTTATATTTTCTTCCCATATGAAGGATAATCTTGCCAGATATAGTGTTTTTGGTTGAAATTGTTTTTCACTTAACACTTTGAATATATTTTCCCATTCTTTCCTTCTTTGCATTGTTTCTGACAAGAGGTCCAATGTTAGCCTGATGGGATATCCTTTGAAAGTAACGATGTTTTTCTCTTGCCAATTTTAGTATCTTATCTCTGTTGTGGTTTTGGTCAATCTGGCTATGATATGCCTTGGAGAAGATCTTGAGTTGAGTCTATGTGGGGTCCTTTGTAATTCTTAGGTCTGGGTATTTGAATACCTCTCTAGGTTTGGAAAGTTTTCTTCCAGGATTTCATGGAATAGATTATCAATGCCCTGATTAGTTTTTTCACCTTCTGGGATACCAATTATCCAGCTGTTTGGGCATCTAATGGTATCTAGTATTACTCGTATATTATTCTCATTTCGGGGGGTTATTTTCTCAATCTTTTTGGTGAATTTTTCTAGGTCAGAAGTTCTGTCTTCTACATTTGAGATTCTATCTTCTGCATGATCAAATCTGCTTTTAATACTTTCAGGGGAGGTTTTGATTTCCTATATTACAGATTCCATCTCTAACAGTTCAATCTGATTCTTTTTTATGGTGTTTATTTCTTCTTTCAGATCGTGGCATTAATTTGTTCTTAATTTGAATTTTGTTTTTCAGGAAAATATTATTTTTATGATAACTACTTTGACCTACCAGGAGCACTTCTATGTGCAAAAGTGGTGGATTCCTTAACAAAGGTAAGAAGGAATTTGCTTTATAAAAAGTATGATATGGGACCAGTTGGTAAGGTGACTGGACCACCAAATAGCCAACTGCTCAGTTCAAGTTCCAGACCCGAGAGCTTGCAATATGGGCCTACTCTTAGGCATAGTGCATATGCACATGTGTCCAAAATCCTGAAAGGAGAAGCGTAAAAAAGATTGCAGAGAAAGGATTGACCATCCCCCTTGGGAGGGCCTTTCTCTACCCACCCGTCCCTGCAAACTGAAGTACTCTCTGGCAAATTAAAAAAATTAAAGCTATGTTATGTATTTAGTTATAAATCAGTTCACTTAATTATATATATCTTTTGAGTTGAGACTTTACTTAGTTTTTTCTTTGTGGTTACAGACATGACTGATTATGAAAAACAATCTGAATTTGACCAAAATATTTTTGGAAAATTAAATAGCAGTGACCAGTTTTTCCCCTGGGAAAATAAATCTGTTCTCCAGCAGGGGGTGCAAAAGCTTGTAAAAAGAAAATACAGAACTTGCATGAGGAAAAAGATTATTTTTGGTTTGTTTCATTAGCAAAATAAGGAAAAGAATATTAAATTTCATGTGTTTTTAAACACATGTTGTAAATAATATAAGGTCAGAATATGAGATAAAAGTTTTAAATGTATTATTCTGAACGAGTTTAGTGCATATATACCTTTGCTTGGTACTGTGTATCAAGTTTACATAGATCTCTGGTTCTATCAGTTTGTAGTTAGAATTTAAAACCCATGAACATAAATAGGTTTACGTGTCAGAATCACTTTACTTTTAAAATCACTGTTATGTTGAGTATTTTTTCCTTTAACACAAAACAAAAGTTACCAGAAAGTTCATGCACTAGCCAGAGAGAGAGAAAGAGAGAGAGAGTGAGAAAGCACCCCCATGAGGAGTGGTGACACTACTGTTCCTTCTCCTCCCTCTCTCTCTCCTTTCTGTGATTTTGGGCATACAAGCAAATGTGTCTGGTGTAGTTTTCGAGCTGCCACATCCAGGACTCAAATCATGTGGTGAGCTCTGTGGAATTCAGCCTCCTTAATCACCAGGTCACAGGACGGTCCCATAAATAGTTTACTTTTTAAATAACAATTATAGGCATATGTTTGTGAAAGTATCTATTGAATAATAGTTTTGTATGTTTGTAGAAGTCTATATTAATATGAGATAGAGTTAATTTTTGAATTTGTAGTTACTATAAGCAAAATGTATCAGTCTTTAGGTATTTTGCAGTTGTATAATTAGATACCGATAACTATAAAGGACATTGGTTAATATTTCCAAGGAAGCAAATGGTTATAGGGCCATTTGTTTTCATTAATGTGTATTTGTTTTCTGGTTTGAAAAAAATCTTAATAAAAACAATTTACATTTTGGATTTGGAAACTCATTCATCTCTCCTAAAGAGACTTGCTACTCTTGTACTGAAATTCAGGGTAAGCATAATTCAGGCTAATTCAGGAATTCTAACGTAATAAACTTTTAGGGCTTAGGGCTTCAGTCTTCTTAGCCTAAGTGATGCCATAGTATATTAAGTAACATATTCTGTTCTCTCAGAAACTATATAACATTGTGTATTATGTTTTTAAGATAATCTTATAATTTTTAGACTTTAAGTGGAAATTTTTATTTGGGCTATGTGAACTATATTAATATTTTGTGATACGTATGTACCTATATGGTAGTGATTTTCATGATGAATTCTCTTTCTAAAATCATGCATAGGAACATGAAGACTTTATTAATCTATTATGTTTTCCAAAACATAAGCTCTGTCTTATAGTAATATCATCATTTGCCATCATTTACCACTATGCTTAAAAGCTTAATTATTGCATTTGTTATATTTGAAGTTTTTTGTTTTCTTAGCAGAACAATGGTCAAAAAACATTTGATTTTTGGAAGGATATAGTTGCTGGTATACAATACAATTATAAAACATCAGCTTTTAAGGGTGAGTAATGCAGACAGAGACTTCCTGATATATGTTTGTTAAATGCTGTGTCTAGTGAATAGTTAAAACATTACCTATATTACTTATTACTATGTTCCTAAATTAGGATTTAAGTTGATTTTAAATATCATTATAAAGTTGACTCTGCTCACATCATAAGATTCTTTTATTCATATCTACTTTGCATTCATAACGGCCAGTTTTGTGAGCTGTTCTGTGAAACTGTCTTTTACATGCTTGCCAATATAGTCATTCCATAGGTTTCTTAGCTTTGCTGTGTTCTGGTTTGAAAGTGAGGTTTGGGGATACCTGTAACCATAGTACAGTAGGTACAGACAGGAAGGCAATGTGTTTGCCAGTGAAAGTTCCATTTTTGTTTGAGGATTCAGATTGGCTGACCTAAAAAGGAGCAGAGGTATCACCAAGCTTACACTGAGGGTTTTACATTTCCATTCACAGCTCTGCTTGGGTTTCACAAAGGTTAGTTTCAAGGAATAGATAGATGCATTTACAGTACACTGCCCCAATGACTTGAACCAGACTGTCTTGATGGATACCCAAGAACAGTATTTTTCAGCTTAGACAAGTGTTGCCTTTTGACTAACATAAAAAATTTCTTGCCTTCCTTTTAACGTAATTCAAGCCATCAGAATAATTTTAAACATTATGACTGAAACCATGCCCAGACAATAGCCAGTAACCGTGAAATATTTGTTCAAACTGCATATTTCTCTGCACCTGTATCTTTCCCTCCCAGAAACAAAATTATTGCTTTGGGGTGTTTTCTAGCTTTCCTGTACTCACTTCTCAGCCCTTGACCCTGCCACATAGTGTACGTGGCTCTGTGAGGAGCTTTTATGGTCTACACTGAGTGCTTGGGAATGCCCACTCGCAATAGAGGAATATGTCCATGACAACCATAAAGCCTTCCACCACTTTATTGTTTTTACTTTTCATTAACTTTATAAAATGAACAGCCTTAAACAAATGGTTGAAAAATAGAGAATTGCTGCTTTCAAGTAAATTCAGCACAAAAAACTATCGATGGTATTTTATTGCCTTGTAAGTAAGGAGTAGGTAGAACATCTTGTGTTTTAATAAATGAGGCACAGCTTAAATGTTTTAACAGCAATATAAAAATACAGTACAGAGCATAAATAAATAATGTCTTTTCATTTCCGGTCAGATTTTGAAACTCCCGATGTTAATTATAATTTCACTGGAATGGGAGGCACACGGTACATACCCTCACGTTCTTTAAATTCACAAAATCTATTATATAATCATATAAGGAATAAGGAAATCAAATTAACCACATGTGTGTTAAATAAATAAAAACAGATCAGATACCTGTTTCCAAGTTGTGCTGGTACCTAGAAAGCTTCTCTTCCGTCACAGAGAAGTTTGAAAGGTTTGTGACTAAAGCACCTTACATTTCAGATTCATTTTAACACATTTTTTTTTTAATGAGAGCTTTTAAAACTATACATTTAAAGATCTATGAGTGAATAGATCTTGATGGAAGAGGCCATATAAACCTTAGATGATGCACCATCAGAAATATCTTAGGGTACACAGTGCCTATTACATTTGAATATTCAAGTATGTAAGTTCTGTAAAGTTCTGTGACAATTCCTGAATGTTTCCTAGAAGGTCTCATATTAATCATTAGAAATAGGCTTATTTTAATAGGCTATGCTGTTTCTGAAAACAAATTTAACACAATTTAGAGTTCTATTTCTGTTTTTTGTGATAGTTGTACTTTTTTAACTTAACAGGACTCTTATGGTAAAATTTGTAACTATTGAAGAGGTTCACGGAAAATTAAAGGGCCTTAGGATTGCTGACTAGAATTTCAAGGGGGTCTTCACATATCGTTTACCACTGCAGCTCACTTTTTCAGGGGGAACATTTGCTAGTCTAAAAGCTCAAATCTGTATTTTGGAAAATTAAAGTGACATTTTTCAGCCTACCTCCATATAGGTTTCATGGGGTGGAATGGAGTTGGGAAATGTCTATGGGTTTAGATTAGCTGAGTGGGAATGTTCTCACATTGGAGCCACTAAGAATCCTGAGAAAGAGGAGTGGACATACTCAGAGGAGTACAGGCCATTGGACTCGGCATTGGGCAGCTGGAGCCACACCTGGTCATTTTCAGTGAGCTCGATTATGGCGCTCCCCGAAGCCTGATCCAGGTAGCCTTTGGCATATTCGTCATAGGTGTACATTACTGGGGTGCCATTCTTATAAAGGCCTACCCAAACATGAGTCCCTTTCACGTGCACGTGGTAGGAGAAATAGTATATCCCTGGTATCCTGCAGGTGAAGATTCCAGTTCTTGGGTCATAGTGCTGCTGCCTATTATACAGAATCTTATCAAATGGGATGGGAGCACCTATTGCTGGGTAAGCTTTGGAGAGAATGACAGTAAATGCAGACACTGGCATTCATGTTACTCCCTCGTTGGCACTAACAAGAGG